AAGGTATGAAATTAAACATAAACAAACCTGTTAAAAAGTGGGCGTGGCCGGCTATGTGTCGGTGTGGCCATCTATGAATCATTGTAATGTGTGAAAAGCAGAAAATTCCAAGAAAATTCTTAGAAACGGAAGTTATGGAACACATTTTGGAAATCACGATCGCGCTAAAAAGTGGGCGTGATCGCAGAGGGCGGGGCATGAGATGGCATCCAATAGGGTCAAAGATGGTTGAAATAGCAGTCCCTACACGATTGACTTATCATTTTGCGAAATTTGACATAGCGGCAAAAAAGTGGTCCACGAGGGACAATATGAGCCACCGGTGGCTCAGGGCGGACGCATGCGAAAGCACGCCATTGTCCCACGTGGCGCTTTCCCGCAAAACGCGATTGTCGTCAACGTGTTAAGACTTGCTGCTACTGATGCGCATGCTGCGTCTGTTGCAAAGCCGCGTCACTTTGAAAAGATTTCCAGACCGACAATCGAGCTCAGCGGTTGAAGCAACTTAGAGTAATACCATTTTGATGTTCTGTTTCGGATTTTGTGGACTAAGCAGTTATTAATGGATCGACAAGAGAATTGCTTTACTTGATATCTGCGAGACTTTAATGAGTTAGATCTGAAACTTTTCCTCGCAGGCGCTGGTGGCATGTCGTCTGTTTGAGTCGCTAGCAAACGACGCCTCACAAAACTATTTGGAGCTGGAAATCTGCGAAGAACTTCGGAAGAATAGCGAGTATGTGCTGGGGTGAACTCACACTTCTGATCGATTTCATATTTACTACGTTTTAGGGAATTTCGAGAGTTATCGATTGAAGCATTACAATACTGTACAGAGCAGGACAAGGATATCACACTGCAGCTTCTTACCTATGAGTTAACAAACTGGGGCAATGAGACCTGCCTCTCCTTAGCTGCTTTGAACAATAATCGACAGTTTTTGGCTCATCCATGGTGAGTCTACTACGAATTAAATGCAAGTCCTCGCTGTTCATATGGGCTGGATTGGGCGTAGTACTAAGCCTTCCTCACTGATGCGCTCCTACTCCCCACGTTCTCAAAAAGGAACGAGGTTTCCGCGGGGGAAAGGATAAAAATGTTAATGAGGAGGACACAATGGTAGGCCCGACATAGTTTATGCCTAAATCTAAATGTTAATAGGGTTGTCTCCTCAGTCT